GACTTACCTGAAACGGGCGGTCGGCGGGAAGGTCCAGAGTGCGGAGAAGCTCATGTCTCTCTCTCTCTCTCTCTCTCTCTCTTCCCCTCTCTCTCTCCGCTTTCTCTCCCTCTTCCCCTTCTCTGACTCACCCCAATCCCTTGCTATGTCTTGCTGAGCTTGTAACTGCCTTTACCAATGGCACAACGTAGGACTGACCTTAGCATCGAAACCCCGAACCAGCAGCCTCATCATCACGAGTCCCTTTGTCCAAGCACTCGACTACTGACGTATCTGTTTCTTATTTAGATAGCTGTAGCTGACCATGCAACTTATTAAGCCAACCAAACCTAATATATAAAAAAAAATTATACTTCTATCTTACTGAGCCGACCATGGATCTAACTGTTGTGTGACTGAATGGACCAGACTGCTATTTTTCTGACCCAGCCATGCATCTTACTGGATATTTTTTTAATATCTTTCTGAGCTGACCTTTCTGAGTTGACCATGTATCTAAAATATTTTTGAGCTGACCATGTATCTCACTCTGTCTGAGCCGACCATGTCTCGCACTGTTATATGTGAATAAATGGACCATGTATCTCACTGATGACTAAGTCGACCATGTATCTTACTGTTATCATTATGTGACTGAGTGGACTATGTATATTACTGTTATGTGACTGAATTAACCATGTATTTAATTGTTATGTGACTGAGTGGACCACGTATCTTACTGTTATGTGGACCATGTGTCTTACCGTTATGTGACTAAGTGGACCATGTATCTTACTGACATCTTTCTGAGCTGACCATGTATCTATATCTGAGCGAACCAACCATCTTATTGATCTTTCTAAGCCAACCATGTATCTTAAACTCTTTCTGAGCTGACCATGTATCTTAAGCGATATCTTTCTCAGCTGGCTATCTTTCCAATATCTGTCTGTCTTCCGTTTATCTTGCTGATCTGTCTGATTTGAGCTGATGTAACTGATATCTTACAAGTTACTCAGTCGATCATGTATGTTAAGAAGTTTTTAAAATTGTTTTGTTGTGTAGAGTCCCCGGGAAGATGTAACTCCGCGGGATGGCGCGGAGGGCAGAGGGCCGAACGTTCAACGTGAGTGTGATCGGCCTGTCCGGCACGGAGAGGGACAAGGGTCAGTATGGGGTCGGCAAGTCCTGTCTGTGCAACCGGTTCTTTAACCAGGTAAGATTACTAACTTAGTCATGTTCATTAATTATCCTCGACCTCACATCGTGCAGTTTTAGTTAATTGTTATTTTGAATGTGTAAAGTTTCCTTTTAATTATAATATATGTTAATGCCTGAAAATGAAGTTCTCAAGAAATTTTTTTAGATGATGGAGACTGGGAATCTCTGTCACACTTGTACCTGTTGAAAATAATGTATGTGTCACGAAATGTTGGAATCTGGTTCTTGTCAACTTTTGGGCATATAGAGTTATTGGTATCCCCTTAAAACTTGTTCATATGTTTTTCTTTTGTGGAAAAAATTTACTCATCGTCTATCTAGAGTAAATTCCAAGATATTTTCGATGAAGGAGGTAAGGGTAGACGTAAAAATTCATGAGAATATGGCCGTCAAAGTTTGGTAGCTTCCAAAGCTTGAGTGTTCTTGGAAACTTCAAATTAACTTTTTTTTATATGCCTTTGGTTAAAGTTTTTCACAGAAACATGTTTTTAAATGGATAATAAAAGCTGTCAAGTAAAAAAAACAACGATTAAAATTGGCCAGTGTGTATGGAAAAATGCCAGTTTCTTTGGTTTCATTATTTTGACAAGCACCTGATTTCACCATGATACTACACATGTCCTGTGACTCTTGTACTGAGTACGTGAGGATTTACATGAAAAGTTTATAGGGTTAAGTATCTAGAAAAAGGTAGGACATTAAAGTATCACCCTGATTCAGTCTGGGAATTGTGCAAAAAAATCGTTCACAGTGAAATGATTAAGAATTATAAATACTGGTGGTCTCATGGCAAAGTGACTTACATTGTTGCGTTTACTGAGGCATAGATTCCAAACTATTCAGAGCGGTCAGTAGACCCAGAGTATTATACAAAATCATTGAACTAATATGAATGTCATTTGTATGGATTTTGATTTGGTGTGTTTATTGATCTTTTTGGATTCTTTGAGCAATGTATTTTGCATTTGGTGAGTCTATCTAGCCGATAACATTGCTTTGAGCTGACAGAACAGGGCACTGTGCTATAAAGACCAGAAATTGGTAGGGGGGAGTTGTAAATGTTTTTTCCTCCTATTTTACGCTTCCTTCTCAAGTTAGATTAAATTGGAGACATGCTGCTTGGACCGTGCCTGTCTGGGCCAATCCGGGCTGAGTGGGGAACAGCATTTCAGCAAACAGTGAGCATGCAACAGCAAAGATCCTAACCTATATTCACCACTGATGCCAGTCTTATTTGACGTGACTGAATTTGTAGTCTCAGTGTGTTCTACAGAATGATGAGGATGTTAATGCATGAACACTTGAACACTGATGTATACCAAATGAGAGGGAAAAGTAAGTTTTTTTGGGGGTTTTTTTTTCCCCTCCTCCAGGTTGCGGACAACTACTACCAGGAGCACATATCAGTCCTGAGTCAGAGTGACTTTGCTGGTCGGGTCATCAACAATGACCACTTCCTGTACTGGGGTTCGGTCACCAAGACAGACGAAGGGAACAATTTCACCTTTCATGTGGTAGGCTGTGTTAATACTATTAGCTGACTATTGACCCAAACATCTCTCTCTCTCTCTCTCTCTCTCTCT